GTGGACTGAAACCAAGTTTCTTGCATATCTCATTTCTTCGGCTTGTAAATATATTCTTTGGAGTGTGCTCTGTGTAGTGCAGTGCATATGTGAATATGTGCTGTGATGAGATTTTTCACACTAGTTTACTTTTGCTTTACTGTGATGAATTATGTATCATGCTGGGGTCATGTTGTGTATGTTCGTAGCGCATTGTAATGGCGATAGGTACTGTATAAAAATATGTGAAATAAGATACGCTTACACTGACATAAGTACTGATGCTGTTATGATTGCAATAAAAAAAGAAAAACAGCTTCAGTTGTAGGCAAGTTTTGAATTGGCAATGCCCAGTCTAAAAATAAAAAAATGAAAGATCCCACGGACAAAGGGCATCAATGATGAGCAAAGCACTAATGAGAAAGGTTTATATGTCACTTTAAAGTCAGCAGGACGTTACCAGGTCGAATTCAATAATGCCGTGCGTGACTACCGTGTCCTGGTTATGATGTTTGTATGTGTCGTTTACCTTCGTCATCCATTCACATCACGTGATACCAAGTTTATTGTATGTGGCGCTAGCGAAACGGCCGCGAACACGCTATGAGAGTGGTATGTTGCCATGACCTTACATGACACGTGTTTCGAGGTAATCATGTTTGCACCAGTCATATACAGTCGTCATTCATTGACATCATAGATATCATAGACGTCATATAACACCGAAGCTGATATTGGAGCTAGCAAAACGGCCGCGAGTGCATCATGAAGAGCCCAATATACTCTAATGTAGCGTTAACGTGCGCACACACTGGGCACAGTGACGCTACGTTAGCAAAACGCGAGCATTCTATGGTTTAACGCCAGGCGTGACAGGCACGACCAGCGTCTGTCGGTGCGGCCTGACGGCAACCAGCACAAAATGCGACATGCGGCAGGTACTCAGCTGCTGGCCTGCAGGTCGCGGGATAGAATCCTGGTTGCGGCGGCTGTATTTCCGATGGAGCCGGAAATGTTGTAGGCCCGTGTGCTCAGATTTCGGTGCATGTTAAAGAACTTTAGGTGGTCGAAATTTGCGGAGCCCTCCACTACGGCGTCTCTCATATTCAAATGGTGGTATTGGGATGGTAAACCCCACATATCAATGATTGCGACATGCGGCATTTAGCGCCGATGGGTTACTCAAACAACACTGCGTCCCCCTCTTATCGTGATGGAGGTACGACGATCTCGCTGAAACGCCCATGCGTCAATGGAACACAGCGCGGCGCGTTCCTGGGAGTATATGGCAGTAATGGCGCGGGGATGGCAACGCCGGCGAGGCGCGATGAAATGAACACCGGTAAGCAGGCACACCGCGTCACGTCGATATGTATTGGTCCTTGACTGTGGCGCATACCCAAGTTTTCACATAAATCACATCTCATGATTATCATGTTTGCACCAGTAACACATCTTCATCATTCATTGACGTAACGTAATATCTAATTTTGCATATGTGAAGCTAGCGAAACGGGCGCGAGCGCATTAGGAATTTGGCATGTAGTCATGTTGTTACATGACACGCATGTCGTCATTACCATGTTTGGATGTGTCATTTATCTATGTCGTCCGTTTGCATCGCGTAATACCAAGTTTGGTACATGTGAAGCTAGCGAAACGGCCGCGAGCGCACCGTTAACGTAGCATGTTGTCATGTTGTTACATGACACGCATCAAACGTTTATCATTTTTGCACCAGTATCATACCTTCGTCATCCATTCACGTTGATAATGCTCAAGTTGGTATAAGTGAAGCTAGCGAAAGCACCGCCAGCGTATCATGAGCGTGGCATATGGTCATGTAGTTACATGACACGAATCTCATGATTGTCAATTTTGCACCAGTCACATGCCTTCGTGAGCCATTCCCGTACCGTAATGCTAATTTTGGTCTACGTGAAACGGCGGCGAGTGCATCATGACCATGGCACGTAGAAATATTGTTGCCTGACACGCAGGTCATGATTTTCATGTTACGGTCTTTCGCTTGTGTTCGCCTTGCCATCATGGCATACCATACCTGTTTTGCAACCTGTCAAGTGAACGAAACTACCGCAAGAGCTGCAGGACCTTGAAATGCAAGTCATGACATTTTATGACAGACATTTCGTACTTTTCATGCTAAGCTAAGTCAAACATGTTCTTCATAGAGTCGTGTTATGCCATGCAGAGTTTGATATTGCTCTCCTAAGTGAAACGGCCAAGAGAGGTAAAAGTCATAGATAGATAGAGATAGATAGATAGATAGATATATAGTAGACAGATAGATAGATAGATAGATAGATAGATAGATAGATACGCTCAGTGTCACCGAAGTTTGCTAAAAAAATGCTTCGCATGTTAGAAGGATTGTCTAGCCTCGATACGTACGGGCAATGAGCACAAAATCGATCCGTACTGGCACTGATGGCAAGCAAACTTGTCCGTGCCGCACCGAGTTAATGGTTTGGTGTGAAAGCGAGCTTGACTGCTTGCGTGAGTTGTAGCTACAGCTGCTTCAATGGCACCAAACTGCAGGCGGCAGCCACAATTGACAGCTGAATGAAAAAAAACATCACAGATCTCATGTACAGTGGGAATCGATGATATGCGAAACACGAATAAGAATGATTGATATTCCAGCCGAAAAGTCCACCAGGCCGTGAAGGGTGTGTTTTTCCCTTTCCCATCAGAGCAGAAAATCAGGCACGGGTTCTGGCGTATACGGCCGGTCTGGTGTTTACGACTTGTTTTCCATTCTTTCCTGCACTGGTGTCTTTCCGGTATGTGGGAACCAGGATGACGGGTTTTAGCATGATGGGTACGTGTATATGTGGTCTTGGCCGAAATTTCATGCAGTTCAACACTACTTTTTGAAGTTGCGTCTAGATGAAACTTCAAAGTGTATATTTCACATTTAATTATGGAGAATAAAATATAATTGGGTAAATGCCTTATATTGTAAAGGTAATCTGAGTATTCCACAACTAGTAATACTGAAAAACATGCAGTTCTAGGTTCAACGTGGCTGTAAAAGAACTTAGGCAGAAACAATTATATTTGAAAGTAAAAAATGCATAAATTTTTCGGCGCTTGCCTCAATTATGATGTTTTTTGAGAGAGCCACAGCCTGATATTTTTTGGCCTTTATTTACAACCTCTGCCGTCTTTCCCCTGGATCTTTCGTAGTGCCTGAAAAAGACTATAGAGACAATTCATTATTTGGTATAGGGCTCCGTTTTGGTATGATGGGTACAATGTGGTCCTAACCATGATTTCACAATATACAACACTCCTGCTTGCAGTTAGCTTTACGAAGATACTAATTTGTATATTTAAATAAATAGACTCATTTACATTACAATACATGCCCTAAGAGAACAAAAACAGGCATAACATTGATTGGGCAGTTTACAAGAATACTTACAATAATGAAGGAGTTCATTAACAAATAAATAAATACATATTATATGAAGCGATTTTTTAACAAATTGGAATTGCAGCTCAGCATCGTAGCAATCCAGTAGCAAAACTGAAGAGCTTAGAAAACAAGATATTACATGACAAACAGAGTAAAAACTGTCCCTGTGTGTCAAAAAGAACACAGTAATAGCACAGTATACTGCAAACTTCTAATTACTGCGGAAAGTGCTGTTGATGTCGATCATGACAAAAAGCACCATGTTCAGCTGCTGACCCGCAAGTCCTGGGTTCGAATCCCGGCTGCGGCGGCTGCATTTCCGATGGAGGCAGAAATGTTGTAGGCCCGTGTGCTCAAATTTGGGTGCATGTTTAACAACTCCAGGTCGTCGAAATTTCCGGAGCCCTCCACTACGCCATCTCGTAGTCATATGGTGGTTTCGGGACGTTAAACTCTGCATATCAATCAAAGCACCTTGGGGCTAAAACAAGAATAAATTGTGACTGCACCTCTTCTCTGCGTAATGCGGTATGAGTGTTTTATGAACACACTACTTTCGGCATGCTTTTCTGCGGATTTGTTCCCACCCTTACAAACTGCACAGCCTTCCTCACTCACCTCTCAGTGCATCTACTTCGTGAGAATTCAGCGGCGTTTGTTGAGCTTTCTGGCCACCTTCCACAACAAACCGGTTTTTCAGAGCCCTGGTGAAGCTCCTTTGAGCTAAGACCTCTGACGACCAGATTGTGACAGCAGCCCTTTAATTAAAATAGCACTCCTTCTGGACTCCCATCAGTTGCTCATAGGTGGCCGTTTGGAGCAACACACTATTGGCCAAATGAACCTGCAGGTGGATGTTAAAACGTTTCTTTAACACACAGTATCAAATAATCTATACAAATTAAAATAATTACCAGTACAGTTTCAGAAACTGAAAACCGTACGTCAACAGAGACATATAAAAAGTACAAGCTGGAAAATGACATCAACACTACTTTATGTCACTATAGTTTATGTCACTATAAGAAGCCAAAATTAAAGCCCATCGTTGCATGCGAGCGGCCGCTAAAGAAGGAACTTGCTTTCCTGGCCCTAAGATGCCTATCAGTGGTTGGTGGTCCGTGAACAACGTGAACGTCCGCCCTTATACATAGCGATGAAATTTCTTGAGGGCAAAAGTGATCGCCACCGATTCTCGCTCGATTTGGGCATAGCCACGTTCAGCTTGCGGCAGTGTTCTGGAAGCGAAAGCGACGGGTTTTTCTGTGCCATTTGGAAGTCTGTGGAAGAGAACTGCGCCGAGCCCACACTGCGATGCATCACAGCTAACAGCCAAGGGGTTTTTCGGATCGTAAAAACCGAGTACTGGGCTTGTCGTTAGCAAGTTCTTCGCTTCTTGAAACGCTGGAGCTCATTTTTCCGTCCAATTCCAACGCTTTCCTTTCCTCAGAAGCTCATACAGCGGCGCAGCTCTGGTTGCCAAGTTGGACAGGAGCTTTGAGTAGAATGTTACCATTCCAAGAAAAGACTTTAACTCCGTTGCATTTGTGGGTTCGGTTGCATTCTTTATTGCCCTTACTTTTAACCCAAGTGGCCTGATTCTCTCCGCTGAAATTCCGTGGCCCTGGTAGCGAACTTCGCTGCAAAAGAGCTTGCATTTCTCCATGCGCAGCGTCACAATGTGATCGCGTAACCGGGTCAACACTTCTTCCAGCTTCAGCCGACAGTCATCAATACTTGACCCTCCTATGATGGCATCATCGATGTAACATCCTACTTGAGTGACGCCCTTGAGGATCCTGTCCATGAGTGACTGGAATATGGCAGGAGCACTTGCGATGCCATAAGAGAGCCGCTGTATTTGTATAGGCCTTGGTGTGTGTTTACCGTTAAAATACCTTTGGCATCTTCGTCAAGCTCCACTTGGTGATAAGCGGAAGCAAGGTCAAGAACGCAGAATACCTTAGAGCCTGCTGAAGTTGCGAATAAGTCTTCTGGCAGAGGCGGATGGTAGTGCTCAGTCTGTAGCGCAGGGTTCACTGTGACCTTGTAGTCGCCACACAGCCGTACGTTTGCTCCTCCATCTTTTGGTACCACCACTAAAGGAGTTGCCCAATCGCTTCTGGTGACCTTTTTTAATATCTAAGCACGCTCTAAGGAGTCCAGTTCTTCAGACACAGCTTGCTTCAGCGCAAATGGCACTGGTCGAGCCTTGTAAAATACTGGCTTGCTGTTTGGTTTCAAGAGAACTTGCGCTTTATAGCCACTTATGAACCCGATCTGCGGTGAAAACACTGTTTCGAAATTCTTCATTAAGTCATCCACATTCTGATCTTGCTCTATGGCTCGAACTTCTAGCCAGTTTAATTTAAGCTTCCTCAACCAGTTGCGACCAAGCAGACATGGCAACTCTCGACCACCACTGTCTACTATCAACACAGGTAGGGTATCACATTGATCACCGTGTTAAATTCGCACGTTCACTGATCCTACCACCGGCACTAGTTCGCCTGTGTATGTTCTTAAAGGAACAGTCGCTTTCTTGACAGTCAGTTGAGGAAATTCGCGCTGAAAAACGAATTTCGGCATGACGGTGACGGACGCCCCTGTATCTGTTTGCATCTTGAAGGCTCGTCCTTCAATCCTGACAGTGACACAGGAGGCAGACTTATTGATTTTTATACTGTATATTTCTTGCTCTTCATCCAAATCCTCTGCTTGACTATCGATTTCATTCAGTGTCTTTGTTCTGCCGGGGCACTGCCTACACATTGTTCCGCAAGTGACCTTGCTCCCCGCAATTATGACACTTATACTTGCGATACCGGCAACCTTTTGAAGTATGGCGTTTGCCTCAACGGAAACACTCTGGGCACTCCGTTCTGCCACAACAGCTGTCCCTGGGACGACTGCTTTGCCTGAGAGCATCAACTTCTAGACCGGAGCGCTTTTGTGATCTACCTTGGTGTTCTTCCAACGACAATGCCCGGGTTTGTGTGGAAGCTAGCTTACAGTTTAAAGCAATTTTACACGCCTCTTCGAATGTCAGTTTTTCAGCTGCGAAAAGCTCGCGTTGTGTATCAGTGCAGCGCAGCCCGGTGACAAGTCTGTCTCTAAGCGCTTCGTCGAGAAACTTTGCAAACTCGCAACTTCTGGCCAGCTGCTTTAGCTGCACCACGAATTCGGCCACAGTCTCTTGTTCCAACTGCACCCTTCGGTTAAATCGGCATCTTTCGGCTATCATAGCCTTTCGGGGACTGTAGTGACCTTTCAACAGAGTCGTCACCTCGTCATACGTTTTGCTAGCTGGTGAGTGTGGTATCAACAGGTTTTTCAGGACCTCATACACTCGCGGGCCTACAACTGTCAAGAATACAGCTAGCTTCTTGCCTTCTGTCTCATCATTTGCCGAGACGTAAAGCTCAAATCTTTCTAGGTAGGACTCGAAGCTATCCCTCTTTTTATCAAAATTGTCAAGTTTTCCCACCTTCGTCATTGCAGTGACGCCCACGCAGCCGTCGTCTTGACTTCAGCAGCAACATAAGCACGTGGAAAGCCGACCGGATCCCATCCTCGTCGCCAGTGTAGTAGAGTTAGGCGGCCGAGCTGCCGTACTCAAAGAAACAACACTGTCAGTTGCAGAACAAGGAATCATCTGGTTTATTCTTGGGCCACGCTTTAAAGGCATGCGGTTGCTTATCCGCTGCTGCGTCAGCGCAGCTGATGACGAAGTGGAACTTCACGAAGTAGGCGTTATCACACATAGTACTGAGGCATTATTATGATACCGCCGAACTATATTACCACTCATTATTTTGAAAAGTTCGGTATTTTGAAGTATGTAGTAGTTAAATAATTTTTCAGTGGAGCTGATAGCAGTCGGCACGGAATTTTCTAAAAGTTTATTAATCTGGAAAGTTCATTATTATGGTGTTGCTTCTACCAAGTTTTCACTATAGTATACTTCTACACTTACTATGAGTATAAATGCTACGGAATAAGAAAAAATATTATTTTTTTGAAGTATCTAGACCTGTTACAAGTCAAGCACAATCATACATCTGGCACGCCAATACTTAAGAGCAATAACCTGCCATAGTTGCTCAACGCTGTACCTATTGCTCACCATTGTTCAAATTAGCCATCGGTAAGGTGGCACTCTAGGCTAAGCAGGTGTGCACAAAATGAAGTGTTGCTGTGCACTAAATGAACGTCTCAGTACTACGAACTCGGGTTCTGAGATCCGTTGCGAACACCGTAGCGGTATGCAAGCACACGGACGCTATGCTTCTCAGAAGACGTGTGGCGGTGTGGAGACATAAAAAATACACGAAATGATGACATTCTTGTATTTCTTTTTGTTGAAACACTGACCTTGCTGGGTTACAAGCGCAGAGGCAAGAGGCCAAGACAACACAGGAGGGCAAGGTCGGAGGAACATAGTGGGAGTTGCTGAGCAAGAAGCATGGGCGCAGAAAACCTGAGACAGCGAGAAAGCAGGAATGAAATGCAAAGATTTTGCTTGTTAGCTCTTGTTTTTCTTTGGATGAGGTAATGACAACCACGACCCTTCCGGTTTACTTATTTTTCTCACTTTACATGTGCTCTAGGAGGCCTTGTAAGTTGCGTTCCAATCTTTTTAATTATTTTTATCACTTCCGCAAAGCAAGTTGGCGTTCACACAGTACTTGTCCTACAATATGTTCATCTCTACCTGCGACGAAAACGCCAAAGCAATTCTCGCTAAGCGAGAAAGTGGTTATTCAACAACTTGAAGGCAAAAAACAGGCTGTTGTGGCCAAAGAACTTGGAGTGGCGTGTTCTACAATCGTCATGATCCTGAAAAGAGAGAACGAGAAAATGAGCATCCAAGATTAGTTGCAACTTGCCCCCTCACGGAAGCGACTTAAGCTCGGTTACTTCCAGCCGATTAACTTGGCGATGCTCACATGCTTCAAAGATCAGAACATGCCCGTGTCGGGCCCAATGATTCAGGCGAAAGCCGGACAACCACACGAATGTTGATAAACTGATTGCCTTCGCGCTGCAAAGTTTGTGCTGCACACGTCAAAACAAAACCACAGACTTCTTCAAGTAAGCGTTGTAATGTAGTTGTTTTGGTTAGTGGATAATAAGTATTTATGGTTAATTTTCAGGCTTTCACTACAATAATGATCTTTCAAAATAAGGAACAAATTGGCGCGGCTCCTTGAATTTCAGTGTAGCAAGATTTTAATATATATATATATATATATATATACATATATATATATATACCACTTTGTGACCACTCACGGAGGATCTACTGGACTATATGCAACGCTACGGCCACTAAACCACCATGCCTGCCTTCACAAGAACGGCCACAGGCGCACCTCCAGTCGAGCAGGTCTCACGGAAGTTCCCTAAACATGCACCAACATCAGCCGTCATCGGAAATTCGCAAAGAAGGTATTTACATCGGCATTTCAACCCGCATAAAAAGACGACAGCTGCGATCATTTCAATCCGCGGAGCCTCCACATTCGACATCGAGGAAGAGCTTGCAGGCATACCACGGTCTGTGACCACGCTCGTATTTCACGTCGATACGAGCGAGCTGGCGTCATGCGGACTAGAGGAATCGCTACGCCACCTTCGTCGCCTAGTGAACAACACGCTTCGGACACGCCAGGAACTCGAAAGGCTCGTTGTTTTATGCGTGCTGCCCCGTTACCTCAACCTACACCTGGAACAATCGAACGAACAATTCGCGCACCGCTTCAACCGGGATGCTCTTCAATTCGACAAAACAGTCAAGGCCTACTTCCGAAGACCCAGCAAGGCGTCATACATCGACTACCAATTCGAGCAGTTGCCACCAAAGGCTTTCTTGCTGCGGATGTGCTTCATTCGAGTTTTATGGGTGTTGCTTTGATCGCCGAAACCCTCAAGAGTGCACTCGGTCGCGGAGACTTCGAAGCTACAACGGGGTGGTCGACTCAACCAGCAGCTCCCGTCAACATCCGTTCAACACAACAAGACACCCAGGACAAGAACTCTGCATCTCAACATACACCAGGAGCCCCACACCTGTAGCCACACCCACCCAACATCACAGATGAGTTCCCGACGATCGCCGAAACTGTGACTCCCGCGAGCCACAAGCACCCCCTCACCATCATCAACAGCGCACCACTACTAGGGGGGAAGTCTGCTGAAAAGCCAACACGCGTCTTTCATATCGGATGTCGAGAACATTAGCACTACACGACAGCACCACTACACCACTCCTCAAAGGGAAGCCTGCCAAAGTACGAAATCGCGTACCCCTATTGCGGACCCCGGAACTGCCTACGAACACGTTCGCCGGGAGCCCAACGTCGTAATCCTCCCTACAACAACGAAGGCCTCCCGGACATAACAACCTGCGCACCTCATCAGTGCCATCCCCGCACCCAAAAGAAGATTGACTTCTAAAATGTAAGTCCAGCTCATCACTTCCCAGTTGCAGTGCCACTTTCCTTAAAGTACGAAAACTTGCTGACAAACGAATTAGACATGAAATGCATAAATCAACATTGCAAGTGTACCTTCGTGCTAGAATAGCCCCCAAGGGTATGACACTCTCTCTCACACCAGCCGCTACAAATCTAGATGAACACGACTAAATATCATGGAAAAATATCCTCCTTGAGGCATCTCTTAAAATAACAAAAATCGCTCTTATTCACAGTGATAAGCAGGTAAAGAAACTGGTCGCTCTGACCAACACTATACTTTGCCACAACACTTTATCGAACGAAGAAATCACCCGATTAACAGAAT